GTGTGTGACCTGAGAGAGAGGAGCGCCAGGGTGTGTGACCTGAGAGAGAGAGAGAGGAGCGCCAGGGTGTGTGACCTGAGAGAGGAGCACCATGGCTTCCCGGGGTGTGTGACCCAAGAGCTGGAAGGACAGAGGAGTGGTCTGTCTGCTACTTTGTCACAGTAGGATTGTGAGCCTCGGGCATGAGGGCATATATATTTGTAAAATTAGATTTAACAGCAACAAAAAAACCCTCCTGATGTTCAATGTGTTTCTGTTTATTTACTGGAATGGAAATAGAACGTACTCGTATTCATTGACCTTAGCTCCAGTGAGTAAGTTCACTTGTGGATTCTAACGGTTCATGTTCTGTGCACATGTAGTGATGTCATCGGAGACTGGTTAGTTACATTTCTAGTCTGCACTTTTTGGTTTTGTACTCTTTTGTTGCATAAACTAGAATCTCCATGTGCTGCTACACTGAAGAGTTGACAGGAAGTGTACTCATCTTAGTTTTGCTCACAGGCTTAATAGTTGCAGTATTTCACTATTAAATATGATGTTTGCCATAGATTCTTTTGAAAGTTTTATCACATTAAATTGTCTTTTGAGCCCAGCGTGCTGTTTTTATCATGATTAGAAATATGTTAGTCGATGAAAAGTTTTATTTTATGTGTATTTTAGAATTTTCAGTCCTATTAAATCCTAAATCCCTGTTCCCATAATAAATTATGTGAAACATTTAAATTTAATACAATCCTCCTACACTTACATAATTTTAAGCTATAAAAATAAGAGTAATGCATAAGAAAATAATGGCTCATCATATAAATGCTCTGGCACGATTGTGTGACCATACAGATTACCCATCAAATATCCGAACTATTTTGGAGTGGCATTTCATTCCCATTTAGAGCCAGTGTTGTAGAGGACAGTGGTACAGACTTATATTAATAGCAGACTTCTTGGATTGGAGATGAGTCACTAGTGCTACCAGGAAACACTCACTATCGCTGGGGTACATGTTGGGCTTGTGAGTTTGATGACAAAGAGGAGACGTTTTCTTGTGATACCCCTGGAGAAAGTCCATTCAAGAAGTATTTTCCGAGCATCTACTATGAGCCACATACTGTTCTAGTTCTTGATAATAAAACTGAATGAAACACTCCTACTTAGGTGATGTGCTCAATAGAAGAAGAGTGGTAAACAGGAAGATAGATAGATAGATAGATAGATAGATAGATAGATAGATAGATAGATAGATAGATGATAAATGCTAGAGAGAAGGCCAGGTAAGGGGCTGGAGAGCTCCTGAGGCTGTGTTGCATTCTATTAAGAGAGGAGAGCGGAAAGAAGCCTGAGCAGAGACCTGAATGAATGCGGCAGCCAGCAGTTGAGCATTCTGGGACGGGGCGAGGGGACTGCTTGGCTCACGAGTGGAAAGCCAGCAGATACTGCTTACTGCCCGACGTGTGCCAGTCGGCACTTGTTCTGCATCACCTTGTTCATCCTCTTCAGTGATGAGATGAGGCTGGCAGTAAGTCCTCGTTGACAGAGGAGGCAGCGAGGATGCGGACCGCAGACCGTTGCGTCAGTTCTCAAGTGGGTGTCCAGTTCCTACAAGAAGACACTCTCTTCTTTCAGAGCTCTGACACGGCCATCAGAGCAGTGTAGTCCATTCAGAGAAAATAGTGGACATTGTAGTGACTTGATTTTTCTTGCTGTTTGGTGGGGGCTTGGCGGAGACAGTGTCTTACTACAGTCTAGGCTGGCCTTGAGCTCACGGTATAGTCCAGGCTGGACTCCGATTTATTAATTGTTCTCTCTCAGCCTCCTGAGTGCGAGGATTGTGGTGTGAATCACCATGCCCAGTGGAATCGTGAGCTTGATACCATATTTGTAATTCTTTAATGTTCTAAATATTACTGAATAAAAACTTTTTGAATCTTATGACTGGAAAGCATTTCAAATTAAGTTAAAATCCATGACAATTATTTATTTTTGGACTTTGCCTTTTTTGTTTCTAACATTTTTATCTTATGTGGCCGTTTTCTTAATACCATTGTTTAAACAGAAGTATTAACTTATTTTAACTGGTTAGTACTGATAAGTTTATAATCTTGGATTTATGGAACTTATTAGTCTTTTCCTTTTGGTGGTTTTTTATTTTATTTTATTCATTTTAATAAAAAAGAAAATGGCAAAGAAACAGCTTCAAAACAGATTAGTAGGACAGTTACACTAATTAATACATTGCACACTGTTGTCTTCATAGTAGTTATTCAGAGGACAAGATGTAGACATATTTTGTCTAAACAATATTAGTACAAACCACCTTTATCCTCAATGAACAAAGAAAGTAGCTGTGTATCTATCCTGACTCTGTGTGTGTGTGTGTGTGTGTGTGTGTGTGTGTTGTGGTGGTGGAACTTATTTTAGATTTCACACAAATAATCAATTGCAAACTGAGAGCTTTGTGAGATGCCGTCTGTTGGTACTGTGTGCATTGTTACTGCTGCCTATAAAATGAGAAAGCTCAACAAGAGACCTTGTGTCGTGCTTCTTACCCTCAGGGCCGCCGTCTAAGAGCCATCCGGGTTGTCCGTGCATTTCTCCAGCCCTGCGCAGCGTGCTGTACAGCTGAGATCCAGATACATTAAATAATAATCCTGCTGACATTTGAGTGCTGCTGCCTCTGAGCATTGTTCTCAGTGGCCACACGCTTTGAACCGTTAATTTGAATGTCAGTGTACTAAAATAAGGGAATGTTTTATTAGGTGTCCTGATCATTCTAGTGATCCCATAGTTTCCTCTATGGAGTAATTGCCAGACCAGTGTGGTATGTTAAAAATTAATTGTGGAAAGCTTTCACTCTGGTTTTAAAGTGATTAAAGAGAGACTGAGTCCCAGGAGTATATGGACACCAGTGACAGTTACATTTAGGCACATAGTTGAGTACAAAAATTGAAGTAACATAAATTACATTAGCCTTTTGAGGGGCAGCAGTTAAGAGCAGAGAAAGAGGCATCATAAGCCCAACCTTACTTAGGGGGCTGTTCCCTGGCCCTGCCTCCAGCGCCGCCTCGGGGGGAGCCTGCAGGGTGCTTGGACCCCACAGCCGAGGTTCCTTGAGGTCATGGCGTCCTCGGGGTCTTTTTTGTTAAACTGAAAGGCAGAAGAAAAATTCCTTATGGACATAGACTACTTGAGAGGAAAGAAAATACAAATGAAGTAACCTTAACTTTTTGTTTGTGTTTTTGGCAGAACCGGGGATTGAACTCAGGCCCTTGCATTTCTCAGGGAAGCACTTATTCCACTGAGCCTTCTCCCCTGCTCCCAAAGTAGCCTTACTAAGATATTTCTTTTAGTATAAGAGAGTGTCCTGTTAAATTATTTTAGTTAAAATATCTTAATTCAGAATGATTACTTGAAATAGTTAAGTAATTTAACAGTACAGTTCATTTTAGAAAGACAGTTTTGTCACATCTTATAAGTTAATATCATTAGCTAAAAGAATAGAACATTTATTATTGTTAGTAAATAGCTGTACTATGATATACTACCTCTTTTATTTAGTTTCATAACCAACTAGCCAGTGGATTTTAAATAGCTATCCTAATTTATGTGAGAGTCCCAAATTTTATACTGTCATGGGATACATATTTCTTAGACTCTTGGTTCAGTTCTTTCATGGAAATTGTGTAGAGAATCTGATACCGGTGGGTACATCTTAGCGGGACTGCTCCAGGTGTTTGGCCGGCAAAGCTTCCTTGGAGAGTAGGTGTCAGCCCATTTCTTCCGTCAGACTCAGAAATCAAATGATTATAAAACCATTGTACTGAGAGCTGCAGGTGTGGAGATGCTGATTACAGCCCTGAGGTGACCATTATCCATTGTGTAGGTATATTGAATTATCACACTGCCACCATTTAAAAAAAAAGAACACTTTGAAAATTCTCACAGGCAAAATTACAAGCTTGAAGAAATAAACCTTTTAAAAGAAAAGATAAAACTTTCAAGGTCAGGCATTGCATATATTGTTTTTTCTATTAGATGATTTATGAATATACTGTTGTTCTCTCTGAATTTAAATGTCTGAAACAATTGGAGTGTTCATATTAACCAAATAGATATATAATAATTGCTATTTATTTTTATAAAGGTTCAGAGGTTCAGAGAAATAACATCTTGTGGATCGCCATGGCAGGAATTCACCAGATATGGGCCCTGCTGCTGGATTCCGGCAAGCTGCCAAAGAAAAAGTGAGTGGCTGTGTCCCTCTTTCTGTGCTCCCTTTGCTGGTCACCATCTGACCATCTCTCTGTTCTGGTGAGGATGTGCTGTACTAGACTCCCCCACCATGGCGCACAACCTGCACTCGCAGCTGCTTAGAACAAGACCTTTTCTTTCTAACTCGTGTAGGTTCGCTGGGAAGCAGTCCTTCAGCACCCAGGCTGGGGTGGAGCAGTCACCCTCGGGCTGGCAGAGCAGGGAGGCCGGGTGGGGACTCGCTGGCGCTGACGCTCTGCTCCACGTGGCGCGGCTCCACCACTCCCGCTTCCTCGGTGGTGGCAGGTCCTGCAGCCACACCTAATTTCTACGAGCCTGGAAAGAACAGCCCTGAGCACACTGTCGGAGAACCAGAAATAACTGATGGCCCTTTATCATTTAAGCACAGTTCAGGCATCTGTGGTCATCCCATCGTCCCAAATGAGCACCACATGGCCAGCATTCAGAGCCCGGGTGTTGTCATCAGGCCTGAGGTTGCGTCCTGGTTCTGCCCTTCAGTATCTCTGTGAGCCTAGGAGAGGCCCTTTGACCCGCTGAGCCTCAGTTTCCTGATTTGACACCCCATAGGCTTGCTTTGAGCAGGATCATCTAATGGAAGAGTTGAACAAAGTGTCTAGCACATGCAGGAAGTGTAGGAAGCTTTGCTGCCATCTCTGGTGTGTAAAACTGGAAAGACAGCACACCTCCTCCTGTTCTCCTGCAGCGCCCCTCGCCTCAGCCCCACAGAGCCTGCCACACTTTTCTCTGGCCACGGTACCTGCATATCATCACATCACTGCCCGGACAAGTGAGCCAGCCTCACCTCTTCACTCCCTCATTCTTTTGGGTTGCACTTATTTTTAACTAGCCCTATTAGACTCTTGTTTAAAGAAAGGAACCCCGTCTTGTCCATTTTTGCATCCTCTATACCTAGTACTGTAGCTGGCACCTAACCGGAGCTTTTTAGAAGCTTACAGATTAAACGCACAAGTGAAAGTCATCAACCATAAGTGCTGAATCTCCACAGAACGTACATGCCTCACATCTCTTATCAGCAGAAAATAACATCTACACTAGTAGCATGTATGTGTGTAGGAACACAGTTGTACCATGTGTTACAGCAATTCATCATTATTTAAAATATTAGTTAATATATTATGTGCTAGGCATGCAGCCGGGCACTAGGGATGACTTACCTGCTCATTGAAGGATAAAGTGGTGCATGTGGTGCCTGTCTTCAGTGAGCTTACAGAAGAACAGGCCAGTGAGCAGACCAGAAATCAGTGCATGAAGTGAACCAGTGAAGTGGTCCTTTAAATTGAAGTTGTCTTCATGAGAGAGACACAGTCATGGATAAGATTTCAGGTATCAAGGAAGAGCACCTGCAGGTGGCTGAGTTAGGGAGGTTTTCCCGGCTAGAGCCGACAGTGATGTCAGCGGAAGCTGTGCTGTGCCGTGCCTTGAGTCCTTCGCAGAGATTTGGGCGTTGTGCAGGCCTTTACCGCAAGTTGAAGCTCAGAAATGGCATGAATGGGCATGTGTCTTTGAAAGAACCCTGGACACATTCTGAGTGACGCAAGACTGGAGACAGAGCGCCCCAAGGAGGCTGTTGCTGTTTTCCAAGCAGGAGAGCAGCGGAGGTTACCAATCATGGTGTGTATGAGACATAATCATAAACAGTAAAGAGGAGTAGCAGCTTGCCAGCATGTGCTGTTCTGGGCGCTAGCTCTGCTGGACATAGATGCTCAAGGGCTCCCTGGATTTCCACCTAAGTAGAACAGTTCTCCTTAATAAGAAAATGGTCACTCGGCTCACGTTGACAGCATCTTAATTGTAGGTAGGTTTTATCTTTCTGCGTGACTGATCACTGGGGGTAATGGTCCCTGATGTTTGCCTACCAGTGCTGGGATTGAGCCCAAAGCTTGGACATGCATATGCTACCACTGAGTTACATCCTCACGCCTCCTAACTCTTAAGTTAAAAATTTCCCCACCTTTTTTTTTTTTTTTTTTTTTTTATTAACAGAGCTTCTTTATAAAGTGTTTGGATTCCTTACCATAACTACTTTTTGATTTGTTTTACATATTAAAAGTTCTTGAATAAATCCCATCTTGGATACATTCCTTATCCCTCTGCTTCCACCTCCCTTATCATTGGGAATGTATCAGTCAGCGAGTGAGGTCACCTTAAGCTTCCCCACGTGTACTGCACTTAGGAATGTGCACATGCGGTCCCTCACTCTGCGCTCCAGGCCTGCTTCTCTCCTTCCCTCACACAGCACTCCACTGTGTCTTCTTTGCAACTTCTCTGGCATACGTTTAGAAGTCAAAACCGCTGCATCCAGGGGCACCCTCGGAATGCTCCTTGAAGTAGACATTTCCCAGGGGTACCAAGAAATTGCTTCGGTGCCGCGATCAGTTGTGCCGCCCGCTCATCCTATATTGTCTTCAGGAGCTAGATCCTCTCTAGTTTCCTTTCAGAGTCTGCCATTTCATGCAGCTAAGAAGAAATCAAGAAATGAGAGTAGGACTTATTAACATCTAATTATTCTTCTTATAATTCTGGTCCTTTCAGGGTATGTTTCAGTTACATTTATTTTGAAGAAAACAGGAAGGTCTCTGCATACCAGTCATAAGCTAAGATTGCCCTTCTCCTTCTCCCCTCCCCGGCCCTTTTTTTAAACTGTGCTGTCATCATTGATTCTTGCCTTCACATACATTTAAAAACTAAATTGACACATTTCCCACTTGTTGACTCCACCTATGGACTTGTCTTTCAGTGAGCTAAAGAAAGGGACTTGTCTTCCATTTGCTGGCAGTGGGAATGAAGAGAATCGGAACAATGCGTATCCTCACAAGGCAGGCTTCGCCCAGCCCTCAGGCCTCTCTCTGGCCTCAGAAGATCCCTGGAACTGCCTCTTTGTAGCCGATAGTGAGAGCAGCACTGTGAGAACCGTCTCCCTCAAAGATGGAGCAGTGAAGCCCCTCATTGGAGGAGAACGAGACCCCATGGTAAAGAAAGTTGCTTTTACAACGAGCCCAGATACTGGCCGTCTAGCAGTTTCACGAACTGTGAGCTGCAGTGGTAGGGGCTAGGAGGGATGTCCTCAGCCGGGTCACACATTGAAATGGAAGCCACGTCAAAGGAAATGTGCTATAAGGAAACACCAGTAAAACCGTCTAAAAAACCATCTAATGTCACTCTAGTTGTTCATGTACAAATGTTGAGTCCTCAGGGAAAAACAAAGAATAAAATAGTGATCGCTAGAGAGAGGAGAGATGCCCACATGTGTGTTCAGCAGTGGATTGCAAAGAGCACCAGACTAGTAGATTCGACCTCTTCCTGACCACCTGTCAGAACGGTTGAGTGATGACGCCAAAAATGAGCACACTCAAAATTCTGTAATTTCTTACTAGTCTGCATCCATACCCACCCATTTATATAAAAAAGCAGACCTTTCCCCTTGAACTTGAATAGCACATTCGGCTATCTTAATTGTGACTTGATAGTTTAACAAAGCACTGTGAAAATTTTAATAACTGCTGTTTCTTTCTCCTTAAAAAAATAAAAAGAATTTATTTGCTTTTGGTGATGTTGATGGAGCAGGCATTGATGTAAAACTTCAGCACCCACTGGGAGTAGCCTGGGACAAGAAGAGGAATTTGCTTTATGTGGCAGACTCCTATAACCACAAGGTGAGTCTTCATGGAATTAGGTAGCGCCTTGCTGTTCATCCCTGGTGTTCAGAATGCTGAACTATCTGTGTGCCGCTTGCTGATTCTGCTCTAAAATACAGAGAACAGCGGCCCCTGGCAGCTGTGTGCCTTGTGTTCTCTGCTCCTCTTAGTCCTTGCTTTGTGAGAAGGTGATGATGTATCTGTACTAGGGAAAGCACTGAGCCCACTCCAGTGCCTGTGAGCCTGAGTTGTGAACTGCGTAGTAACACAGTCAGGAAGTAGGGAGAGGGCAAGTGGGGAAAATGACCTCTACTAAAAGATGAACGTTCTTCAGCTGTTGCGTAGTAGTGTGCCTGGCAGCAGGTAATTCCACTGTCAGCAGCATTTCTCTTTTTGTCTGTTCAGTTGTTTTGGTTTTTATTTTCTTTTTATAAGGATCAATGATATTGAAGTTAATACCTTATGATAAGAGGCCCTATATGTAAGTCAATGAGATATAACTGGTGGTCGTTAAACTTAATAAAGGTGTACGTGTCAGGCAATGCTCATGAGGAAAAGGCTCAGTTGTGCAGTTATATTCCATTGTGAAGAAAAAAATCAATTCATTTTAATTTGAAATATAAATTCATCCAAGATCACTTGTGGAAAACAGGGACTTTGCAGTTTTAGAATAAGAGTGTCTCCCCTTAAACTGTGTGATTTGAATGTTTAGCTTTTCAAGAAAATAAATTTCTACTTTTTTTCTGAGATCTGTTGAGAATGCTAATGGCAGTCAGAATTCCCCTCTCTAGTTTTTTGATGCTATACTCTTCCATGCTGCAGACATGAGCTCGGTCTTCAGATACGTGAATGTTTTGTTCCTTCTTCAGATTAAAGTTGTGGATCCAAAAACAAAAAGCTGTACAACGTTAGCAGGGACTGGAAACACAAATAATGTTGCTAGTTCCAGTTTTACTGAGTCGACTTTTAATGAACCAGGAGGCTTATGTGTTGGAGAAAATGGCCAGCTATTATATGTAGCAGATACCAACAATCATCAGATTAAAGTGATGGATTTGGAAACAAAAACAGTTTCTGTGGTAAGTAATTTCAAAGCTGTATTAAAGGTGTGGTTTTGATGATGGTGCTAAGGCTAAAACACTGATGGAGACGTTTGGTTAGACCCTCTCTGGTGGTAAGATGGACACATTGAGAGAGCGTAGTAAGTGAATGCCTCCGTTGATTGTTTTGTTCTGTGTTTGATAACTAGACCAACAGGCCTGTTTTGAGGCTATATTCTTGAAATAGAAGTTCTGTCTGTGCTGCAATTTTGAGAAAAAGACAATAGAAGGTGAAGAGAATTTAATGAACTTTCAAGATTGAAAGGAGGGGGACTTAGATCTGTTTCTAAAAGCATAAATACACTAACACATAATTTTATACATGTACCACGTGGGTTGTGTTTGTTTTATTCATTGATCCTGGAAATATTGTAAAATCTTAGTTTTGAACAGTGAATCTATTACCAAGTAATCCCCCAAGGAATAGTTAGCATCTGTGTTTCTCAAGCCATTGAAGATTGGAAAAAAAATCAAATTATAGTCAACATTTAATAATATGGACAGGGTCTCTAGAATTTTCAGTGAGAAATGTTGATATGAATTACTCCTTGTTGTATCACATTGACCTGAAAAAAATACAAGGTTTTTCTAAAATTGTGATAATTTTCAAGACATGATTTAAAATTAAAAAAAAAAAGGATTACCATCACAAGGGTCTCTCTTTGCTAGATCTCTGATGTGTACTTACTTGGCAGTGAAAATTGTAAGAGAATGTTTATTATATCCCCTACTTTCAAATTCATACCATTTTTTATTTAATTTCCAGCCATCTATAAAAATACTAGAAAGTTTAATGTTATATTTGTAAGTGTTGGTAATCTTCTTGCCAAGATGAGCTATTTTTCTGTGCTCATTAATCAGACTAGAACGGTAGTTAGTCTCAGTGACACAGAACTTTTTTTTTCTCTTAAAGTCTGAAAATAAGTTCTCGTAGTCAAAGTGATTGTGCTGTCACAGTGGATTTTCTGATTTCCTAGCTGCCCGTCTTCAAGTCTGAAAATGCTGTGGTAGACGGTCCGCTGCTCCTAGAAAAACCGAAGACAGCGCCCAGACTGCCCAAGTCCGCCCCCGCCGTCAAGCTCCCCCCGGTGTCCGTCTGTCCTGGTCAGACTCTTCAGTTCAGACTTCGGCTAGAGTTCCCATCAGGAGCGAAGCTGACTGAAGGCGCGCCCAGTTGCTGGTTTCTGTCTGCTGATGGTATGCGTATGATCTGATAAACGGAAATGTTTAATAAATTCTTGATGTTTAATATAATGGGGAGGGGAATAGTTCAGTGGCATAAACACAAGGTCCCGAGGTCCATCCCCACTACCAAATAATAACAATAATAATAATAATAATAATAATAATAATAATTTTTCTCACTTGTGATATTTAGGCAAGATTTAAGGTAGATTGTAAGAAAAACGTTACCCCAGGTCTGACTGGCAGTTTTCCATAGTCTTCAGGATTCTTGCTCCCTTTATTAGAGAGCTCACTGAAAGATACACAGCAGTTGTTAGCACAGTTTCTCTTCATATGGAGTTCCCCGCCCCCAAGCTCTGTTCTTAATTTTTGTTCCCAAGAAGAACCTCCTAGTTTAAAAACACTGAAGTGGAGCCGCCGAACTTAGCTTTTCCCACACGCGTAACACTGCGCACAGTGATGCGAAGTGAAGTAGTGACGGCCGGGACTCCTAGCGCAGCTTTCTCTCTCAGGACCTCTGCTCCCCACGCCCTTTCAGTCTCCCATTCCCCCTTCCACTGCTCTCTCATGGCCTCTCACACGCTTTTTGTGTGTATTACCCAAGTCCTGGCTTCATGCCTATTTACCTTCCCTTATTCTCGGGGCAGAGACCACTGGCCTGCGACACGCCGACCAAAAAGACAGAGGTGTGCCCAGTGTGCCCTTTCAGATGGCAGGCTTCTGGAATGAGTTTGAGAGACGCTGCTCAGTGATGGACTGGCCGAGCTGTAGGGAATCCACTCCTCTGACTCCAGGAGGACAACAGCTGCCGGGCAGCACTGAGCCAGCGGGGCTGGCTGTGTGGACAGAGTACTGAGTCCCTGAGCACCTAGCCCCCGGGGGGCTCCGAGCCGGTCCTAGACTGCTGGGTGGATGTCTGTGTCCAAGGTCTGAAAAGAGTGCATCAGTTAGAGATCACTAATTCAGTTTGTCTTTGTGGAAAGAGCAACGTATTGGTTTTTGAAGTAGACTGTGGACAAATTAGCATGTCAAGTTCTGCTTTGTTAGACCTGTGAAGGCTTTGAGACAAAAAATACCAGGCAGTGCTAAAGTGAAGTAGGCGAAGGCAACACTGAGCTGTTACTGGCCCAAGGTACTGGCTTTTTATTGTTGTTGTTGATGTGGAAGCAAATAAGCTTTTCAGGCAAGACTCTTAGTTTTTTAAGGGTTTTGAAATTACTTTGTAGCGTAGATTTGTACACTTACCATTAAAGGAAATTTTCTCTTTTGGGTTGGTTAATTAGAAGCAGATACTCTTTTTTTTTTTTTTTTTTTTTTAATGAATGTGGTACAGGGTCTCACTACACAGCTAGGACTCGTAGTGATCCTCCTGTTTCAGCCTCCCCAGCACTGGGATTACAGGCCTGTGCCACTATACCTGGTTTCAGTGACTGGCATGACATGGGGTACTGGGAATCAAACCCTCGGTCCTTACGCTTGCCTATGCAGGCACTTAGACCACTGAGCTTTCTCTGTAGCCCTAGAGGTAGATATTCTTAGGATGGTTAGACTACGTGAAAGTTTTAAGCCAAAACTAGGAGCGTAAAAATTGTCTGGCCTTCTCTAACTTCACAAATCCTAAATGTAATATATATGAAAAATATCTAGAATATTTTGTTGTGTTTTTAGATCTCAATATTAAAATAGCACCATATATTATTTTCCTGTCCTAATTTAAAATTTGAGTTCTCTATCTCTCTAGTGAAATAAAGAATTATGTAAAACATATTTCCCAGTCCAAAAATAAGCAAAGAAAGCCAAAGAATTGTTGAATTATTTAAAACCTCCTACATAAAAGCGCTGCACTTAACTCTTGATTATTTATCTTTCACCTTCTTATTTCTCTGATTCAACATAGTTGTCTCAAATTTGATTTTTCAACAGAACATTAGAATATTAGAAGCAGGATGATAAAAGCGATATGGAGGGGCCTGGGGGGGTCTGAGTCTGCTGATGCATCGTGGGGGAAGAGAGTCCAGGGCGCTGTGGCAGACGCCGCTCTGCCCTGCTCAGTGGTGGCCCAGTTTTTATACAGAGGCCCTGAGTCGTTGGTAAGTCGTCCTGTGGGCCCGGCGTGCCCTTTCAGAGAGCACGGGAGCATCCGGGCACTGCCCAGGTCTGCAGGCCGTGCCTGTGGACAGAACGCTGTGCTTCTGGGTGGGCGCAGATGTTCCTTCAGGGAGAAGGCCCAGGGTGAATGCAGACAGCCAGCATTTTTAACAGTAGAAGGCTTAACCATCATTTGTGATTTATTGGACACTTTGGATAGATAAAATTTAAGTCAATGTTTAAGTCTAGGTAGAGTTTCATGTGTTAAGTTGGGGTAGACAAAATCTCTTAGTTTCTGCTGTAACTCGAGGGTATATGCAGTGTTACAGTTTTCTAAAGCAGTGGCTCGTCTTTTATTATTCTTGGGTATTTCAGAATTCACCACCATCCTAACTAGAACGTCCACCGAGTTGTACATCCATTTATATTCCATGAGACAAAGTTCATTTTGTAGTTTTTATGATTTTTTTTTTTTTTTCCAGAACCAGGGATTGAACTCAGGCCCTTGCGTTTGCCAGGGTAGCGCTTATTCCACTGAGCCATCTCCCCAGCCCTTGTAGTTTTTATATTTTATCCCTAAAGGTTTTTATCAACTTGATAAAAATAATCTATCTCACGTATCCTATGTTTATAATAATATCTATTAGATTTTATTTTTTAACTTTGGGGATTAAAGATTTAGAGCCATATTTGCAATATTTTTTGTTTCAATAAAAATCAGTCCATGATTTATTTTATAGTGTTCAAAAGAATAATTGTAATAATTAGAAAAGTGGTTCTATCTTATTCATATTTATGTCCTTCCCACAGGGTACAATGCCTGGCACCTACAGACTTACTAAATATTTGTTGACTGAATGGATGCTTTCTTATTTTTATTTTTTTTATTTTAAAGAAAAGAACTCCCCAAGCAAAATACTCTCTTCTTCTGCTTCTTCCCATTTCCTGTTTGTCATCTTGTATACTCTTAATCATTTGCCTTTTTTATCTTCTAGGCAACGAATGGCTTCTTCAAGGCCAGGCACCATCTGGAGACATAGAGAGCATTTCCGACCAGCCAACGATTTCACTTCGCATCCCCGACCGCTGCGGGTCGCCTGACGTAGTTCTGTCTGTCAGCGTGTTTCTGTATTACTGCAGCGCGGACAGCAGCGCTTGCATGATGAAGGGCGTTCTGTTCAGGCAGCCTCTGCAGGTAGCCGACACGCAGGCAGGCCACAGAGCTCCAGTAGAGCTCAGGCACGTGTTCTAGCAAGGCAGCCAGCAGCCGCTTGCCGTCTCCCCGTCCTTCATCAGCTACCTTTGCTGTGATTTATGGAAAGAAAAGTTTATTTCTGCCTCTGGATCCACAGATGGATGTTGCTCAGTTAAGTTCTAGCAACTTGACTTAAAATAAAGCTATGTTCCTTGTCTACTTTTTATTATAAAGAAATTCCTTCATTCTGGCTGTGCTAGCTGAGTCACTTGCCGTCATTTAAACCATGACAGCACACTGTGCTGCTGTTTGGTGCAAGGCCTTAGTCTACACTGTCGTAGAAAGTGCTACCATAGCAGAATTTGCAGTGAATACTGAAAAGAGTATGAGGCGTTTTAACTGACTTTTTAAAACCTTTTAAAATAGCATTCAGCATATTTGAATAGATTTCATAGTAACTTTACATAAACCTAAGCTCCAGTTCATGTTTGTATAAGGATATCTGCAATTCAAGGCATAAGGTCTGTTCTAAGCCAAAAAACAAACAAACTAAACGAAGTATTTTCATTATAGTAGAAATTTGAAGAGTATGTGAGTGACTCCACCTAATTTTTATTTTCTTCTGTGGTATTGTCATTTAGATATTTTTAAAAAGAGTTTCAGTCTATTGTATTATAAATTATTTGCTGTCTTACCATACCTCTACTATGCTTTATAACTCTGTATAGGAAAGATGAGTGTGGAATAGCTAGGGGATGCAGATGCACGCCTTCCCTGGCCTGTGTGGATGGTGATGTGTCGTGGTGGCCGTGTTGGTGTCTCATTGTTTTGAATGAACACATGCTTACCAGATCGTGATGGGGTCCCCAGAAATAATATGGTTTTCAAAGAGAAAAGACATAGGACATATTACTGTCTGTGATAAAGAAATTGTTGTGGCAGCTGGATCTGATATAAATAGATATGTGTGTCGTTTTGGAAATTTACACTTACTTATATGCATTAAATGTCAGTTTGTTGGGTTTGGGTTTTTTCGGGGAGCTACCCATATTCAGAATTTAAATTATGATTCATTGTGATGTTTTTAAAAATCAGATTTAAGCCTTCTGATTGAAATTTGCAGTGTAAAATATTCCACATAGTTAACAGATATAGTATATTCTAATACATAACTCTGTTAGGACTAAAACAATGACTCATTTGCATTGTTTTTTAGTTTTTGTTTTTCTGATTTAAAGAAAATAGTCACTGAAATTAGCAGGTTGGTAAAACGTATTATCATGACTTACCCTTTTTTTCGTTTTTGAGATAGTGAAAATCGCTCTATTTTGTCCATTAAGTTCCCCCAGCTGGCTTGGAGCTGGGGCTCCTCGTGGCCTAGCCTCCCCAGGGCTGGGGTTACGTGCATGCGCCCGTTCATATCATAGCTATTCAAAAGCCTATTCTGTTCTTCCTAAAACTGATACAACATGCTTGTAATTTAATTAGCTTATAAGGTTTTTTAAACCTCAGGTAAACCATGTTTATTTATTTATTAAATGTTTATAGACAGTATGGCATAATATACTCCCTTCTTCTGAAAGTGGTAAATTTAAAGTGTGATCTTAGACACCTTTGTCCATTTCTTTTTATTCTTTTGAAATAACAGTTGTGAAACATTATTTGCTTATCTTATTTATAAAGTTAGCAAAATCTCTGAAGAGTGTAGATCATGACTATGACTTAATTAGCAGCCTGCTACAGCTATTTTTAAAGAGAAGTATAAATGTAAAAGGGAAAGGGATCCTATTTAAAATCCTACATAGTTACCTCAGGAGCCTGCCGGTTCCACAGCCAACCAAAACAAGGGCTGTCACTGCTGTTTGGTACAAGACCTTAGTGCACACTGTAGTAGAAAGTGCTACCATAGCAGAATCTGCAGTGAATGCTGAAAAGAGCATGTCACACACATGGTGTGTGACAGTGACGTTCTCTTTCATGAAGAAGAGGCCTTCCTTGGTTGCCTTCCCATCTCAGCCGACGTTGCATTTCTCATTTCCGGCTGGACAGAATCAGAATCTTTTGGCCCGGTCATTTCCTATTTGAGGTCATAAATGAAGAGGATACAGTTTTAACTTGAGGATGCAGAAATAACAGTGTATCTTTCAGTGTACAGACACACATGAATTATGTGCTGTATATTTTCATACACATTAAAATCCAACACTAGCTTTTAGTGTTCATTTTCCCTTTGTCTAGGTTGTGTTAGGTTAGTCTTAAGCTAATACTTTTTTTGATTTTTCACATTCTTACACACTGCCAGTTTGCATTCTTTTACATTAAAATATTATTTATAATGAATATGATTTTGAATAAACCACAGTAAAGCACTATGAGTAAGTTCTTTGAATTTATGACTAATATAAACCTTTTACATAAGAGGAAGCACTAGAAAGTTTATTTTAAAAACTTCTTGATCCGCGTCTGCCTTCAGTTTTCTGTAGGAGCTCCTTAATGTTTTTTACTTTTGCTTTTCTTTCTGCATAAATTTTGTCCAGTGATAGTTTAAAGAATAAGATTCAAATACCAGCAGGGTCCATTACATAGATTTTAGCACCCGGAATCTTTGCTCTAAATCCTTCTACGTTGTCCCTCTTTATTCCCCTCCATGATACCAACTCAGTTAAAATTTATACTCAGGACTGCTATGATCTCTGTGAAGAATTTTGTTTATCCCTGTCTCAAGCAAATATTTATACTTAACCTGTTCACAAGAGAAAATCTTGCACTTTAAGCACCCATAACTGTAACTTTGGTAAAACACAATGACTATGATAAACAAGTTTCTCCTTAACTGTTCTAATAATGTATTTACTTATCTTATTACTAGGCCTTCAAAAGGCTATAAATTTTAACAAAACGAGGTAGAGATTAACATGTAAATGAGTTTGTGTGTGTTTATGTATGCTTATGAGCATATGTGTGTGTACACAGATCAAAAGGTCAAGAAATACGTTTTTTGGCCAGCCTACTTTTGAGCTAATGCTACTGAGAGAAGTCAGTGTTTTCTTTTGCTTATGTTCCAAAAATTAGAAAATTTGGGGAGATAATAACACTTATATTAATTTTGTGCCTATGCAAATTTATCAGTTATACATGCCACTGTAAAGCCTTCATGGTATTTAGCACTAGTCATTAGGCCTTGGGCCTTTCGGACAGTGGTGCACTGAGTCCTAAGCCATGTACAAGGCCCTGGATTCAGTCCCCAGCACTCTTCCAAATCATCAAAAACTAAATTTCATAATTACATGAAGTTATTTGCACAGGGTTATATTAATACTGGCTCTGGATGCTGAGATTTTGGCTGGTTTAAAATTTTTTTTTTATGAGTTTAGGGCAAGCCCTACAGGATGTGTAAGGTCTCACTACACAGATCAGACTCGTAGTGATCCTCCTGTTTTCAGCCTCCCAAGTACTGCGATTACAGGTGTGCACTAGCACGCCCAGTCTCAATGGCAGTGTCAGTGCGCCCTGGAGGCCGGGCCAGCACAGCACTCCAGGGATCGAACACTGGCCCCTGTGCTCTGCCTAAGTAGGCACTTTAGTTCACTGAGCTGTCTGGTCGGCCCTTAATTCTTTTTTGTATTTTGTTTTCAATGATGAGATTTCATAAAGCTAGAAATTAGACCTTTTTTTTCTTCCTGTGTTTTTGTGGTGTAGCACGAGCGTGTGATCGGTGCTCACTTAGGTTCTAATCCTATAAAGTGGGGCTGGTACATTGCCTCAGAGAGTTGCTATTAAGTGTTTAATGAAATATTTATGTAGCATTTAGTAATGAACGAAACAGCTACTTAACAGCTTAATAATGGTAATTTGTGACCACAGACACATGGTTTGAAGTTTTCCTTGGAACTGCAATTTTAAAAGAAAACATTTCTCTACCAAATATTTGATATGTTACTGTTTTCTGTAGTTGGGGTTTAAGAAGAGGATACTTTCGTAATAAAACGTTTTTTAAATAATACCATAAAGGAGTGTACCTACAGCTGTATAAAATTTTCAGAAAGCTCTTCTGCAGCTCTGAGTAACAGACTTGCGTTGAGGGGCGTCCTGCCACACCTGTGTTGTGTGCACCCTCACCGCACACCTGCCACGTGTGCCCTACGCATTGCGCCCATGTAGTGTCCTGAAGTCTCCCGGTGGTGGAGTGGTGCAGGCCCCCAGAGCACTTTCACATTCCTGCCTCAGTTGAGCTTTGATGCAGACAGGCAGCACTGTGTCCCCTGGGAGTGAGGACAGGCTTACTGTGGGTGGCAAATCTGCATATCAGAGGGGACGATGCCGGTGCCCAGAGCGGCTCTGGGGCCGGCAGATACCTGGTGCCGACAGGTGGCTCAGGGCGGGCAGTGAATGTCAGCTCCTTCATAGAGGCAGTTTCTCCATCCTGGTTCTCCTGTGAAGTACAGAGTGGAGACAGACTGTTGAATGACGAGCGCTGCTGTGCACGTGTTAGCCTTCAGGTGAAGGAGTAAGTGCTAGCTGCGCTCGCTGAGTTCTTCCTGTTGGCCTCTCTGAGCGCTGTGCGTATGAACCCCTTTCAGCTTTGGCACAGCCTTACGGGGCAGGGCCCATGCTTCCTTAGTTGGCTGGAGCTAGAACAGAGCAGGAAGCATAGTCGAGGTCGTGGTTAGTGGCAGAGCCTGTTGCGTGAGTCTGCTCACCCACCTGCCGTGTTGCCTCTCGGGCCTTTTTAAAAAACCTTTTCATAGTTTTATGTAGTAACTCCTCAAAACCCCCAAAATTCTAGTAATCGCCATTTTTTAAATTTAAATCCACTTAATATGTAACTTTTCATTGTATATTCCTATTGAAGCCTAGAAATTGTCATGTAGCTGTTTCCCAGAAGAGTTTTTGCACCACTCTTAACTTGAGACATACCCAGTTTTTCTTAGCAGGTGGATATAATAAGGGATTATCGGTTGGCTCCAGTGGTGCTGTTTCAGTGGGCCTTCAGATGGCAGTTGGGACTTTGCCATAAGGAATAACTGGACTCCAAGCACAAGACTGTCTCAAATCCTAAGTTTATTGCTACTTCAGAAAAATCTTGTTTCATTAGCTAAAGCCAGCTCTAGAAATCCAAAGTCTTCTGATTCCTTCCAGCATAAATAATGCTGGTATGTAGACCACCCAACGGTACAGTTTTCGCCAGTGTCAACCTATTATTCCAGCATTAGATACTATTCAAAGGAATGAAGCAAAATGCTACATCCCAGCGGCGAGGATTCATGGTCATTCTTGTCATTCTTGGTCATTCTTGTCATTCATGGTCATTCTTGCTCACATGTACAGAATGTGAGCCTCTTCATTGTTAAACAGTTTGCTAGGTAGGTAGTGGGATGGCGCAGTGAGGAATTTGTCACTTTTGTCATAAAATCCCATTTTGAAAACTGTGTCACATCCCAAAAGTAGTACCACAGTTGTTTCTTCCACACGTGGCACACAGTTTAAATGAACTAGCACCAGCGTTTAGTCACTGTTCCGTCCTGCATAGTTCAGAGTTTGCTTTTCTTCCATTTCTTTATAATGAGGCAACAAAGAATAAGAGTCTAAGTTAGAGACTTGAATAATCTAACTGTTGTGCAGTCCATGGCTAGCGAGCTTGGCCTTGCCTGTGGTGGACCTACCGCTGGGCTGGCTGCGTGGCTTTCCTGTGGCCAGCCTGACCCCAGAGAGCCTGGCTGAAGAAGGGCTCTCTGCTTTCCAGGAACGCCCCTTCTGCTTTGAGTGTGCTGTGGGTTTTGTTCAATCCCTTGCAAAGGTTAGCGTTGAAGAATTAAAGCCCCAGGCACTTGTAGAATTTGGGGGTTGAACTCAGGTCCTTGTGCTTGCTAGGCAACCGCTTATTGTACTGACCTATCTCCCAGCCCCAGTTGTGGAATTGCTTGCTAAGGTGTAGTTATTCATTGTTTGGTGTGTCCTTCCTTGGCGAGTCACTTAAGTGCACCAAAGGATTTCTTTTTTCTCTGTTGAAAGCCTCAGGGGTAAAAGGAAAGTGTCACAAGCCTTTCCAAACATCCTTCCAGCCATCCCCTGTTGGGGGAGCTGAGTCATGCACGCGGGCAGCTGACTGTCCTTGAAAGCTCTGAAAGGACCACCATCACTCACCTCAGTCTTCTATTCAGAAGCACTAAGCAAGCACAAGGAGCACCACACAGCCCTACAGGTTTCTTCAGCAAGTTAAAGGCCTGGCAGGAAGTAGGGAGTTAAGATGGTGAGATTTGTTGTTGTTGTTGTTTTGTTTTTTTAAAACATGAATAGAGTAAACCAAACATAATTTATTCCCTTTTAGTTCTCAGGTTCTTGGTTACATATTTTCATGAAATAAAGTGAAAAGAACTATGCTGGGAAGTAGAGAAGAAAATCAGCCCTCTAATCTAAATGTGGCTGATTTAAACAGAACTTTTGTTTCTCTACCAAATCTGTGCTGGGCTTATGAGAAATAAATTGGGGTAAACTAGACAAAAAATTGTAATGAGTAGTAAAAAAAATAGACAAGTTCCTCACTGGCGTGTAACTTCTATTTGTAAAATTTGCGGTCATTATCCTTGATTCAGAAGCATGAGCCAGTTTTTGTTTATATTGAGTTGAAAGATACGGTTATGAATGCCTGATATTTGTCATCGCGGCTTACCTGTAGAGAATAAGCCATCACTTCCATGCC